AAATGATGGGTAGAAAAGTTATCATGTCTGAACAGACAAAAAGAAAATTTTAAAATGCTGGTGTTGTATCCGGAGTTGGTTCCTGCAGGTGGGTTCGTGGTCTCGCTGACTTCAAGAATAGAGCTGTAGACCTTCACAGTGAGTGTTACTTCTCTTCAAGATGGCACAGACCCAAAGAGTGAGTGGTAGCAAGGTTTATTGAGAAGCTTCCACACCCAGGCACGTTGCTGCTGGTGGCTGAAGTGGGGAGCTTTTATTCCCTTATTTGTCCCCTCCCATTTTCCTTTTCTGTCCTATCAGAGTGACCTTTTTTCAGTCTTCCCTGTGATTGACTGCTTTTAGGATCCTGCTGATTGGTGCATTTTACAGAGCGCTGATTGGTGCATTTTACAGAGCGCTGATTGGTGCATTTTACAATCCTCTGGCTAGCTACTGAGCGCTGATTGGTGTGGTTTTACACAGTGCTGATTGGTGCATTTTACAATCCCCTTGCTAGCTACAGAAACTTTCTCCAACTCCGCAATGGATTGAGGAAATATAGCTGGCTTCACTTCTCAGTGTAATATCACCGGTTGTGATTGCTTGAATATCCTGACCTTAAATTCTATATGCACCTGATTTGTGTATGTGTTGTGACATTCTTTTTACTTTTAATTGTTGTGACCAGGGTCAAGCCGGAAATCACCATAGCGTGCTAATGGATGAGTTCAATGATCTCTTATGGAAAACATTCTTATTTTCAAACAACTCAAATTAACTCATTCATTCACTGTCTGTTCTTGTTCTAGGCTGGAATTATTCACACTGAAATTGACATGAAACCTGAATCCTCATTTGCTAGTGTGCAAATAAGTACATATTCACTTTCAGTGTTTGCAATTTTTCCTTGTGTAACCTCTCCATCATTTATCTTTAGCAATTTCAGTTGCTAGGGAAGTTTTCTAACCCAATACAGAGATCATATAGTAAATTTCTGAATTCTCAAAGGGAGCTTTGTCATAACTAAGATCATCACCAATATGGCCTTTTTAAAATGACAGATTTAAATACACGGAATCCAAACTTATTTTATCAAAAGCATCTAAGATTTTCTTGAGAACCATAGGCAGACCAATGTTCCATGAGATCTGGTTGCTGCTAATACTTTTTTATAACTTCATTATTCACAAGCTCATAAATGTGCACAAAAATACACACATGTGCACACCACTTATGAATGGAGCAAATAACTTTCTTGTAATTTCCAAAATAAAAAATGAGTTTCCAAGTTGTTGTCCAGATGACATTAGTCAATATTTCTTAATCTACACCCATTAAGAGGGAAAATCAAAACAATTTGCTTTGTATTGTAAGAATAATAGCACTGCTTCACTGTTTTATGTCAGGACTATGTCACTTCTGTTCTCAGTTTAATTTACATTTTTAAAAACATCGTGCTAATTTAATGTATTAGTAATACTACAGACCGGGCCCTATGGCACATGACTGTAATCCCAGCACTTTTGGAGGCCAAAACAGACACATCACTTCAACCTAGGATTTGGAAATCAGCCTGGGTAACATGGCAAAATCCTACCCCAACAGAAAATAAAAAATTAGCCTGGAGTGAGATTGTTCCCCTGCAGTCCCAGCTGCTAGCAATGCAGAGGTAGGAGAATCACTTGAGCCCAGAAGGTTGAGGCTGTAATGAGCTGTGATCCTGCCACTGCACTCCAGTCTCAGGGACACAGTGAGAACCTGTTCAAAATAATAGCAATAATTATAATAATTAATAATAATAATAATAATATATTCGTTGGTACAATAATCAGGAAGTGGCAAGTGTCTTAAATATAGTAAAATACCCTAATGTTGAATGGAAGGAAAATACCAGGACAAAATAAACAAACCTAAGGAGATTCAGGGACCTACAACATAGGTGATGTTTTAAAGCGTTCAGTGTCCCCAGTCCACACGTCGAAACAATCTTTATTACAGTAAACGACATTTTGCTCTATATATTTCCTATCACTACAAAAGAGACACAATATTTTGGGGGCCTATTGGGATTTTGGAGCCAACATATTCCACTTTGAAAATATTGCTCTGACTCATTAACAAAGTTTCAAAAGGCAACTGGTCTTGAGTGGAACCCAGAATAAAAGAGGGCTCTACAGAAGATACAGGCTCTGGTCCAAGCAGATTTTGTGATGAGTTTACTTTTCATTTTTTAATTGGTTTACCACATCAACTTATCCGTTTTATCTACCCATTTATTTGTTCATTAAAACATCATTTTTGACCATCTACACTTGATACTGGGTTCTAGAACCCGTGAGTCAACAGAAAGCAAGGCAGACATGATCTGCTTTTTTACAGTTCTTACATTATACTGAGGAAGATATATGATTAAAAAAATACATAAATCAGCTGTGGGGATGATTTATCTTGAGGTTTAAATAACATTGTTAAAATTTCATAACACAAAGAACTAATACCTTCATACACAATTTAGCTGTGAACAAGACTGTACATTTCTTTCTTATAATAGAACTTTTTATTAGTGAATATGTCAAAACACTTTCATTACTGACAACAAAATTATAACATTAAGGCACACTCCATAATTAATACATAGATTTCATAGATACTATTTTAACATTTACAAACAGTTTCACTGAATTATTTTCCATCATTGCTATACTACTTTTACATTGATAGTTTTTTTTTGGGGGGGGGAAGAGATTTGAGTTCTCCTATCTGAAGTTTAGAAGGAATTTTATAAATGGAAGATAAGGATATATTTAGCAAATCAAGGGCTTAGAAGTGCTTTAGAAAAAATACTAAAACAATTTGCATCAGATCTCAATTCAAAAACAGTTTTTCTTTAATTCAAAAGCTGGAAGAAATGACGTTTCTAACTGCATATGGAAAATGATAATAGCAATCAAGATCATGATCATGAATTTTCATCCCTTTATTACCAAAGAGATTTTTTTCTAAGCTATTCACATACTTGTTATTAAATCTAATATTCCTCAGTACTGTTTATGGTAAACATAGATGAAATTTACTCTACATATGCTTGCCACTCGAAGTTTTTTGTGGGCATTGTTTTCTATCAATAATTCTGATTGCTTTTTACTAAACATAAAACAGGAATTCATAATGGAACAAAACCTCAAAGATGCATTCTCATTATTGATTTAGAATTGAATGACCTTACCATCCAAAAAGTGACATGTTCTGACAACAAATTCTAAGCACACTGTGGTATATTTGTGTGGATCTAATAACAATAGAAAACAGCAATATTTTTCCTAAGATAAGCTGTTAGTTCTTAATAATTATAAATAGACATTGTAAATTCTACTAATTAAATATAAAATACATGAATGAAAAGCATGGCTTCGGAATTCTGAGTAATTTTTGTCGTATTTTGTATTAAGTAATTTTGTCGTGTGAAAAAACAAAAAAGCGTATGTTATTGTCAGTGTTCTTAAGCTTTTCATATACATTACACATACACACACACGTATATTTCTTTTGACTAATTTTAGGTAAAAGACTTTTCTAGGCATAGGTTTGGAAATTATTCATGCACATACATTACAGAAAACACAGTAAGAAATAGAAAATGTTTCATACACCACCAGTTTGTTTTCTGCTAGAAGACACAGAATGCCCCTCTTGGGAATTTATGGAGATGAAGGCTTCTGTCCTTTCACAAAGTACCTCACGTTCCACAAAACTGAAAGAAAAGTCTGCTTTAGCTTCTTGTTTCCCCAAATCTCGATGAATGGGTGGGCTGAAGCATAGCTGAATCTAACAGCTTGGCAGAACATGAAGACAGGTTTGTTTCCCAGACTCTCAAAACTCCAAATTGATATAATTACAGACACAAAGTAAATGACACATAACAAGAGGAAGGAGATCACCATTTGCAAAGCTTTTATGTGGACTTTGGTGCTGGGATCTTGAGATCCTTTTCCATACAGCTGCATCTTCTTCAAATGTTTAC